AGTATTTCATCTTTACTGAGTTTTGTTTTGAAAGTTTAAAAAGTTACACAGTTACAAACAAGCATTTTTGCCATTCAGCTTTGTCAAAAGAAGTTAACATAGGAAGTAGGCACATGTTTGTTAAAGAACAGGACTTCGTATCTTACACTGGTCATCAACTGGTAAAACAAAATTTATCTCCAAGTTTGTATTAGACACTCATCTTAAGACAAACATGAAAGTTGGGTATTTTTTTTTTTTTAATATTGCACCATGGAGATGAATATTATCCATTAGCAGGTAAGTTATAGTGCACATGGACAATTCGGTTCATCCATGTTTTTTAAAAAAAACTTACAAAGGGAAGATAATTCAACATACTCCCACCGGGAGTAAGCTCAGGAACACAGAGTAACACACTTGACCAGTTTGTGTATTTGCATAAGCTGCCTCCTTACACCCCTGGCAGCTTTCCTAGCGAAGTTTTGTTCCACAGCCTATTGGCAGCAGATACTAGCAGAATGCTAAATAAAAACGATCAGCAAGATCACTAGGAATATGTGAAGAAAGCAGTTTCAACAGCAAGATCTACAAAGCATAAGAAAGTTACGCAGCAGACAACTGTTCTGGGTTCAGCTACGTTGTGTATCCCCATTTCTCCTTTCCCTATCCCCTACAAAAATGTCACTTCAGTCAGAAAACTTTTGGCCACCAAAAGCGATTTATCATACCAATAAAATTTACTTTAAAACTGCATATACAGTATGCTTCTGCCAGAAACTTACTTGAACCTCCAGACACCAAGACAAAGGAAAAACCATGGTCATCTTAATTTTTATACACTTTTTTGGCCCTCCTATGCATTAAAAGTTATCCACAGCCTGACACCCTGCATGTGTGGTCAGCATTACAAGGAACAGATACTGTAAGTAAGTATTTAGTTTAACATATGCAAGAGTGATCCCAAACCGATTCCAGATGAGGAATTACTGCAATTATAAAAACTGTGCGTTTGTTGTATTAGTACAAGTGCAATGTTTGACAATTTCAAAAGGGTAACAAAAATGAACGTGCTGATTTATTCAGTACATCAGAACTAATTCTTACAAGGCTAAAAACAGGACTGAAAAGTACAATTTGCAGCTGGTCCCTCAAGTTGACATCTCCATCGCGGGAGTTTACACCCAAAGCTTTACCTAAGGAAGGTCTTCCACACTGCGATACAATAAACCAGCCTCGCATTGCAGGGACCGTGTGTGACACGTGTGACACTTGAGGACAAAAGAACGGACAGTGTAACTTGTACCTACATAGCAGACAGACCACACAATTGCCCAGCTCAGAACGCAGTTACAGCAGTTCTGGGGCTTAAAGCAGCTTTGTTTCTTCAGATTCTGTGCACATTTGTAACAGATTAATTTCTGGGCTGAAGCCAGTTGGACTGGATTAAGCTGTTCTTGTATCTGCAGCTAGCAGTCTTCTGTGGGTGAAACCTCACTGGTAGGAATCCCACCCATTTTAAGAGTCCGGATCTCACTGTTCACAGTAATGCCTTGATTTCCATTCTCTCTCTGGGAGAGCAACCTTTGAAACTGAGTAGGTCATTAAGTTTATTTTGAAGAGAAAGTTTGTTCTTGAATGCAAAATTAAACATTTTATGACATACGGTTTACTGTTTATGTGTATTAGTGCTAGATGAAAATGGAACTGTGGCTAATTATGTCAAATTTACAAAAGACTAAATACTTTTCTGCAAGTGCTAGCTGTGATGTTAACATAGAAAGTTCAATTTTCTTCCTGAAACACTGCAAAAACCATAAACACAGAAGGATTTATGGTATTGACAATTGCCGTCTACTGCTGAAAACTTTGATTATTAGTACTCAGGTTCTAACAGTCAACTGACAACCTGGGACTACTTAATTTCATTATTAATTGAAACAGCAAAGTTTGCTCTAAAGGTGGCCTGGGAAAACCTAACCTATATATGTCGTTTCAGCTGCAAAGTGAATTCTATATAGTATATATTATGTTAACATCATAAACAGCTGAGCCAAAATATTAACAAAGATTTCTAAAAACTGTCAATTTCCAGATGCAACAGCCCTTAGGCTACTACACACAGGTTTCCAAGGAAAAGGTTTCTCAGCCTGCAGTAGTAGCACGGAGCTTCTGTGCTGCTACCACACTAGGGTATATGGACAGAGCAGGAGCTTGCTGACAGTTCCCCTTCACAAAGCAGTATTTCATTTTAGCCCACGGGATGGCAAGTCTTCTCAGCATCAAGTCTCTCACCATGATTGTGGATTTGACTGTTCTACTCACAGGCCCCAGAATTCCACCCTTAGTGCACTACAGAGCACCTACATGCATTTCCATCTGGCTGGATCTGCAAGCATCTGATGAAATTTATCAGTTGTTAAAAGTACATTGTAAAGCATTAAGCTATTTTTTTATCATTTACTGTCAAATATGAGGGAAGAAACACAGCAGTTTTAACACATCACGGTTACAAGGTAAAAGTTCTGACCAACTGAGGCACAACTGCAGATGGTGACCAACAAGTCATACTTGGGTCAAACTAGTAAATGTCTATTTACTTACAGTGCATCAGATGTATTTATTACCAGTGGAAAAAACTAAGAAGGTTCATCTAACTTAAATATTATATGCAGCCTAATGTGCACTCAGTGTAAAATGTTATGAACACTGCCTCAAGTGCATTTGATTTCCTGTACCTTTATTACACTATCAGACCACAGACAATCAGAATTCACTCCAGCTTCAAAGTAACATATGTTAATTGCCCATAATTTGAATCCCTGTGCAAATTGCTTTCTGTGGCTAGCTTTTTCAGAGCCTTAGTTCATTTAACTTGATTATAATTGGAAGCATCTGTCTATGATTTAGGCATGCTTATTGCTAGAGAAGAAATAAGCCCATCTTCAAAATTACTGTGCAAGTATTTTAATAAGATTTGCACACATCTCAAAAAATTCTATTGTATGACTCCCTGGTCTAGGAGTTACGTCAGCTGTAGAAGAGTCAAGCGAAGAGCTCACTGATGAGGTAAGGGATGTATCTGCAGATTTTCCTTGCACATCAGCATCTGAATCTTTTTGACAGGACCTATAGTTGCTCACAGAACCCGATCTCTGCGGAGTGGCAGTACCAGACTTCGCTTCAGTAATTTCATCTGAGCAGCAAGGGGAGAAGAGGAAAATCAGGTTTCAGTGTCAAATCAGTTACAGTAACAGCAAACATCTTTCCCTTTTCACATTTGTAAATCTTGGGGGTTTTAAAATCTTGATTAAAACATTAACAGCTTTTGCAAACTGTAGATATTTGATATAATTTTTTTTTTTTTTTGTAAATATAGTAACAAAGAAGAGAGTGTCCTCCTACAAGTTATTTCTGCACTCTGAACTGTGCTCTGGAACCACTGGGATCTAGTTTAGTCTAGCATTCATCATATTTTTCAGGAACGAAATTCAGCAGCTAATAGTTACATTTAGATTCTTTTAAACCAAATAAGAATCTTAAGGCTAACAGCAATACAGACTTAACTCCAATAACAATTCAAACATTTTCTAGATTCTTTTTGCTAGCATGTACTTTATTTTTATTCTATTTCTGTATCCTTCATATTTGGTTACTTATACTTTGGGTTTGTTTGTTTGTTTTTTAATTACAGTTCATTGATATACTAATTGCTAACACCTACATTAATTTTATCTTTCATTTTTGGATGTTTTCCCCTGTAGCCTACTGTATATTTGGGACATGACATATTAAGTTTACCTTCAGTATGAGGAGGAAATACTTTTGTCTAAGAAGTAATGTTCTCTTGAAGTATCTCTACTCTTCCTTCAAATACAGAACATAGGTTTGACTCTCGCCTGGTACAAAGAGTGTTACTTCCAGGAAAAATTAGTGAACACATGCCAAGCTTTATCTTCACCAGGAAATGCTAATCCCATGCTTACCTCAGATCTAAGTTACTGTTTAAATTTAGGGGTGAGGCGCCAAAGGCAGTTTAGGTTGATATAATCTCACCTCTCACAGCCCTGTCCCCTTTTGCACTAGTGGAATTAGTGCTGGTGCAGACACAAAATGGAGCAGTTCAAGAGCTGGTACCTAAAAAAACTACCATTTAAGGAATGAAGCAGCTAACAATCTGATTGGACAAACACTAGACCAGGAAGGAATGAAGAAACACTAATTAGCTCAAACTAATAAGGGGTAACACTTCACTTGTAAACAAGTAAATGAAGACATGCTTGCACTTAGAATTATTTACTTTTCAGCTCCATTAACTTGGGTAAGTCTTCACATACCATCAATGCTACGGAAGTCCAATAAGTATGTCCTGCTGTCCACCTGATACAACTGTAGGCTCATTTTGGAATATGCGCTTGTGACTGGATTCTTCCTTCGAACACGTAGGTAGTATGGATTTACAACCTAGTACAAAAGAGACTTAATTACCAGAACTGCCTGAAAAGCACTACATCTTGTTTTTGTCATTCCAACTCACTGGAATTATCAAGTGATTTCAGGCTTAACCTGTTAAGAGCTGTGTGGGTTTTTTTAAGCTAACAGAAAAACATCCCTACAGCCCCAACAGAAAAGCCAGACATGCTAGGAAGACTTTCTGTTTTTCCGTTCAGCATGAACAGCCTCCTCCCAAACCACTCCTGCACAGCAACCACAAGCTGTCAGCACAGGCACACAGGATTATTTTCCAGCACAGGAGAACATAGTTTCAGATGCACAGGCTATGCAACTACACAGCTCAAACAAAAATTTACTGTTGTCTGCTGTAAAGATCCGTTTTCTTTTACCTTCCATTCATAATCCAGTTGTTTAATTGCTCGACAAACTTCAGCCATGATATCATTTGGTCGACTTTGACTCCGTATTCCCAAGTGCCACTTCGCCCTTCTTACACCTTGGTGTTTTGACTTCTGTGGATTCAGCTCATCAAGAGTGTGGCGAGGACGTGGTGCTTCAGCTACTAAAAATGGCACTCTTTCAGGATGAGGGCGAGACAGGTGGTGTTCATCAAGGAAAGAATCAGGTGGGCTTGTAGCCAAGTAGAAGTCTTTGGCCTCATTCATTATTCTTCTGTTATCTATAATGAGGTGGTAAGCAACTGCTAAGGGGTCCTGATGATTTCGGCTGTATAGACAACTCAGCACTTCCTCTTCAGTGCATTCAAACTTCTCACACACCTCTTTTAAGGCTTCATCATCAATCATAGTAGAGCTGTACGATGGGTCTTCAGGAAACAAGTATTTTGGAAGGTCCTGCTTAAACCATTCATGTTCCCTAGATTTAAGAATTAAAAAAAAAAAGTCTGAGCATATGTACGTAAAGCAAACCCTTTTAATATTAAATACTTTAAAAAACAAAATAACTTTTAGTCTGTACAAAAAGGATCACAGTTGTCAGTTCCAGTGCCTTTCTGTGCAGCAAAGCCAAGAAACCACATAGGACAGAACATAATCACCACCTTCACAAGATTTTGCTAGACATTTTGCAGAAGACTAAAAAAACTCCTCTTTCCTCTAAGTTTTTCAACTACCTGAGCTCAAAAAATCTTCTTATAACTCAACCACCTTTTATATAAATGGTGTATTTTTTACTGCCACTGTGGTAGTTTTGAAACATTTTCAACTGAAATTCTTACACTGTCCACTTGAGTTGTCTGTCTCTAAGTACATGCACAACCATACCTAACAATGCTGCTGATGAATTTTTTTGGCAGATGTTTGAACATGGATTTTTGCACACTGAAGTCACATGTTCCCCATCCCAAACAAGCTGCCAATTGTTTTTTTTTCATTCAGAACACCTCCGGCTTTCTTTTAAAGAGTGGAAGCAATGGAAGGATCAATCTGTACCTCTTTTTCTACTGTACCCACAGGCTGGCATCCCTAAGTGGGAAAAGGAAAGATACAGAAGGAAAAAGATACTTTGTCTACCCAATCATAAATAAGACTGGTTTGTGTCCCTAGAGTAAGCTGCCTAACTAGCCAAAGGTTATGGCATGACACTAACTTTTAAGGTGTTCTGGCCTATAGCATAAAGACTCACTACAGATTTAAAAGCAGTTATATGGATGCCATGGTTTAACCCTGCTGGCAATTAAGTGCCACACAGCTGCTCGCTCACTCCACCCACACTGGGAGGGCATGGAGAAGCAGAAGCGTGAAAGTGAGAAAGAAACAGGGGTTTCTCCACAGCTGAGATGCAGGCCCACAGGGAGGAAGCAAGATTTTCTTTGCATTCTCAGAGCTGACTAGTCAATCCATCTACAGTTGGTGCCTCCACGTCTGTCCAGCTCACCACCAGGACGCAGGCGTATGACATCGGTGCACTTCACACACACTTTTGCCATAGAGGCTGAGTGCACCAGATTTCACCCAGGTCTTTGGATACCTGGCTGTCATCCATGTTGAGACACATCACCTCCACCACAGCTAAGTCCCCCAGATACTAGACTCTTCCCTCATTGGTGGTCCATTTGCTTAGGACATTCGCAAGATCTTCCTTAAAGGGATACCTGTCGTTCCCCCTTGTCAGCTCCAAAGACTGAGGACTCCTGCCCCTTTTACAATCCCCTTGTCAATGGCCTTATCTCTAGCAAAGAATCCCAGCTGCCAGGCTTCCTTACACTCCAATTCCTAAGGATGGCCCCAACATCCCAGTGACAGAGTAGCCATCTTAGTATTTGCTCACCTGGATGACAGCTAAAATCTTTTTGCATATCTCACATCTCAATTAAGAATAGGGATCAGGTGGTTTCCATCACATTTATCTCAGACCTTTCCTCCTCCTGTTCTCATGATAGCTCTGCTCAGAACGAGCTGCCTTCTCCAAGGCTCCCTCCTGCTCCGCTCCCTCTCAGAAGAGCTTCTTCATCCCTTACTGACTAGCTGACTTCTGTTTTGATTGTTTCTTTCCAATTATGGGAGCAGCTGATACAGTTGAAGACTAAGTGTCTGACTTAACCACAGCATCTGCTGGTATGTTTCCAGATCCAGAGACTCCCTCTGCTCCCTGAGGGTGCTGAAGAGCCAGTAGGAGCAGGCGAGGCCCAGACACAGTGCAGCAAGCTGTGGCTATGTGGAATAGCCAGGGCAACTTTTTCTCATTCTATCAGTTCATCAGGATCCCATGCTCATTTGGGGGTGAAGATAACTGATATAATTGATAATGATTGCTCACCAAACTGACCAAGTCCCAGCCAGCCATCAGGCAGTAGTACTCTCACCAACCTCCCCCTAATTTTACTGCTGAGTGCAATGCCATATGGTACAGTACAACCCTTTGGTCAGCTGGGGACAGCTGTCCTGGCTCTGTCCCCTCCCAACTTTTTGTGCACCTCCAACCTACTGACTGGCAGGGCAGTGTGAGGAGCAGAAAAGGCCCTGACTCTTTAAGCCCTGCTCAGCAATGCTGTTTGCAGTACAAATACAAAACATAGGCCCATACGATCTACTACGAAGAAGTTTAGCTCTGTCCCAGCCACAAACCAGTACACTGGACCAAGCTCTAGTCAGTGTGATTCTGAAAGCATGCCTCAGCACAAACGTGTTGAGCAAAAATACACTTTGATAATAAGCAAACATGTAATCTGCAAGCAGAAAAAGCTTTTCATATACTGCTACAAATCACAGCCCTAGCTGCCTGACTGAACCCAGAGGAGAATTCTGTGACTATTCATTGCAGTGGGCCTCTCCCCTTGCAGCTGTACACAGGCCACCAGGGCCACACCCTGCCCCCAAAGAACTGAGGTACATATTGTCCTTTAAACTGTGAGGTGACATGTCTTATGGTTAATAGGACAGAACCACTTAGGATTCAAAATCCATCCATGTTTAACTAGCATTTTTCAACATCTTTTTCACACCACTTCCCTTCTGGACTTGTTTCACATAGCTTTCACAAGCTATCATCTTCCCCAGAATCTCCTCTTAGCCATCATAGGCTCCAGATTCCAACTTCACCTACAAGCTTTAATTTTTCAGTATTTGATGCAGTAATTATCAATCTTACACAAATTCATGCCAGTTTTTGAAGCTAAAAAGTGCTATCTTGTAGGCAGAATAGTCAGTCTTAACAGATGATTTTTCAGATTCTGAAGAAATACAAGTAAAAGCTGTAGTTATCAAAGAGCCGTAACTTCCTGATTTACAGCCCAGAACAGTGGTTCTTAACAGAAAACGTTCTTTTCCTAATGAAGACAATACAGGGTAGTTTTTGCAAACAATTCTGCAGATGAACAGCTTGGCTACAGCAGTATTAGAGTTTCTCAGGATTTCTATGAGTACTGTATGTAATTTGTTTTACTGAGACCCCCAGCAGATACCTCGCTGGCCACTGGAGAGTAGAACTATCAGAACTAAAGCCAAATCACCGGAAGCTGAATTTTTCATAAAACATGGACAAGCTGTATGATTCCTTTGTTCTGTATATTTGCACTGAGATCATTATTCTAGCATCCTCTGATCAGACAACAGTTAATGCCTTACCTAATGTCTCTGATTGTTGCTCTCTTCATTGGATCCACTTGCAGCATGTGCTTCAAAAGACTAATTACAGACGGATTCAGGTACTGAGGAGTATAAAAGATACCATCACAGATCTTCTTAAAAAGAGTTGGCACGTGATCATCATCAAATGGAAGTGTTCCACATAACAAAGCATAGAGAATAACCCCACTGCTCCAAATATCTACTTCTGGACCTGCATATAATCTGGGAAAAAGTTAACTGTTAGTGATTTGCAGTTAAAACATTTAAAGACATTTTTTTACCACTTTCTTACACTGTATCACAGTAATTAGAAGTGTATGAACTTGTGACAGCTAATCTGCAACTACCATCTCTAAGCCATGCTTCCCCTGAATTTTAGTGTCCTTCCACTTCAAATATGTAACAGGGCACAAGTACATAGTTTTCCTCTCTACTGTATACCAAAAATACACAAATGCAATTTAAGACAATGGCAAACTGAAAGCAATTTGCATCTACTACTAAGAAAGCCCATGTTACACACAGTTATTGTTTTAGCAGAATCTGTGCAGTCACCTATCCCTTGAATCTGGGGGGCTGAGAAGTTTAAGCCCCTATAGCAGAACTTGTCATGCATTCCGTGCTACTGCCTGAATAAAACAGGCCTCCAATCAGCAAGAGACAATATTAGGGTGGGTGGCTGAAAGCAGGAGATTTAACCACCATCAAGTCCAAACAGGGAAAGGTACCTCCTGACTGAGTATATACGCTGCAGCAGATTTTACTGCTGCTCAGCTTCACAGCAGACTTTGCCTGCAATTCTGTCCATACCACCACTTTGAAAATCCAAGCTGCATGCAAGGTTTATAAGCCAATTCGGGCATACTGTACGCACTGGCTTTGGGGCATTAAGACATCAGCTCCACCTTACAAGAACTGTTCAAAGCTAGTTCACAGAAGCGTTAAATACTCATGAAAAACTAGCAAGACAAGTAAAAAGTTCAGTCCATGATTTTAATTGCACTAGTTCTGTAGCCTTTAGAATCAAGCAGCAAAATGGCTGAAGTACATGCACATGTGTATCCAATATAAAAGAAACTACCTTCCTGAAATTACTTCTGGTGCAGCATAGTTAGGGGAACCACAGCTTGTTCTTAAAAATTCTCCATCTGACATCATATTTGATAGACCTGGAAGTGTATAAGAGTCACTACTAAAAATTCAGAGAGCAAAATGATTTCACACTGCATACACCACCTAGACCAAATCACCAGTAATTCGAATTAGAACTTAAACAAATTTATCTCAGTGAAGAAGTAACATTGTTTGGAATTACTGAAATTTTTATATAAGCATGCCACATAATCCTCATTTAGTTTATCAGAATTTCAGTAACAAACAACCATTATTGCACACAACCTAGAAATATTTGAGACTATATTAATTTCAAAACAAAAACCAGTCCAATTTAGATGACACAGGCATGATAGAGAACAGTTGCTTTAAGGAAGATGGAGCAGCATAGCAAGATAGGATTTTGGTCATTAGCAAGAAAGTCTTAAAAACTCCATTTGCTTCTAAATGCCAAAATAGAAGATGCTACCACGAAACTCCATAAAATTCTGTAAGAGGCTATTCAAAATAAGAGAACCTAGGAATACATATGACTTCACCACAATTTAGACACCTACATTGCACAGTTGGTTCCTGAATCACCGCAGTTCAGTAGTTTGATTTTAGATATTCTATTAGTAATTGAAGTGTACTTTAGAACTAGTCCATCTACATTCACCAGCCCTCAGTACAATCTAGTATCAGTAAAGAACTACCACTTCTAGACCAGCTGTGGAAAATATCTTCTAGTTTTGTCATGGAGGCTGCATGCTCAAGACTAACAAAAGCTAGAGAACTCAGTCTCTGAGAAGGAATTTACCCTTTTACAGGTGGTGGGAAGATGGAAGGGTACAGCTTGGCTGGCTTTCATATTGTAATACACGAAAGTTTTTATATAAGCTCTTTTTTAATACATTAGTTTTAATTAACTATGTCTACAGCTTTGCTAAGTTACAAGAAGATGTATTTTCTGAATTCTTGTACATCATTTCTTCACTGCATAAGCCATTTCACACAAAGCATTTTCTACACACAAGGAATCAATACAATTCCCAGTGGACACATACTCCAATACTGTATCTCAAAAACATACTTTAGATACTCAGCATTACCTAGCATCTTTCATTTGAGACCTCAAAGTGCTTTACCTGAGCACTTTGTTATCCACAACGTCTACAAAAGATGCATCATGGTGATGTAGCAGCATGGCTACCTCACTATGCTCATATGTTGAGGTTTCCAGATTCAGAGAAACTCAAGAACTAGCTGCCGGTCTTCTCAGCAGCTGCAATCACAAAGAGCTAGTACAAACAATTAAGCCTTCCGATAAGTTAGGCAAGTATATAGCAAAAAAAAAAAGCACAGGAGTTTGAAATGTTAGCTGTTCTTTTACTTTCTATGCTTTAACTACATTTTTTCGATTATAACTTTAAAAGCAGTATGTTCCTTAAGCACGGTGAACAGATCTTGCACTGTATTTTCAAGAGAGCTAAGCATCTACATGTTATAGATAGTGAAACAGGCAATAAGAGCAAATTTTGAAATTAGAAGTTCAGGAAATAAGTCTGTTTAGCATTTCACATAAAATACTGCTAAGGAAACAAATCAGTTCACAATTTCACCCAGACACAGAAAACTTACAAAAAGAAAACCTGAAATGAAAATAAGCACTATGCACATGCAAGAATACAATTTCGCTTTACACCCACACTCTTCAGGTTCTTGCACTGCTCCACCACCAGGATACTCAGGTGTACACATTAAGTGTTTCTCATCACAATTGACAGGACCTAAACAACACCAGAAATGTGATCTGATACAAAACAATAATGCTTACCAAAGTCAGCTATCTTGGCATTCATGTGTGCATCAAGCAGCACATTTTCAGGCTTCAGATCTCTATGTACTACCATATGCCTGTGGCAGTAATCCACGCCAGAAAGGATCTGCTGGAACAGACGTCTACTTTCCTTCTCATCAAGCTAAGACAGACAAACGTTTCAAACAATTATGCGACAGTGGAAGAGAACTTGATTTTCATTTATATGAATTAAAGGAATTTTTCCCACGACCTAAAGGTACCATTTCTAGTTTTGATACTTTATACAGCAGACTATCAGAACTTGAAAGCTGTGAAGCTTCCTGCTACATCATTTTGTTTGTACCAAAGCTGTAAAATGACTAAACCAAAACATATCCATCAACTCAGATAGTCACTGAAATTTCTCAATCTCACTTTTGAAACTGGTCAGGCACATGTTACACAGTAACAAGAATCCCCATCACACCCAAACATTAACTTTGTCTAACTGGAAAATCAATGAACTTTGACATTTGAGCATAGTGTTTAAATTTAAGTTGATAAGAGCTGCTGATGCACAGCACGGAAGTGACAGATTTTAGATGGTAATTATACTGTTAGCAGCTAGCCCCACAGAGCAGACTTAGCTGGGCATTTCCTATGAAGACTCCCTATATTCACATCAAAGTTTGTTCTAACAACTAAGAGTACGCTGGCTATCTGGATGGTTTGTTAAAAGTGACTTCAGAGCTTTCACAGAAACTGTTCTACCGGTATTAGAGGATAATAAGGACACAATGGCAGCTTTCCAGTAATGGCTTATACTGAAGAAGTAATTTTCAACTACTCCAGCTGAATACTTATCCATGAAGTTTATACCCAGTAACTATAAATTAACATATCAGTAGAGAAGAAAAATGCTATGACAAAGTCATATATAAAGAGCTGAAACTTGTTAACATATAACCATTTTTACTTTCAGAACAAGATGTAGTCATAAAGCCTATTTTAATTGGTAACGGTAAAATTAATGTTCAGTACATAAAAACAAACCTTCATTTAACAGGGTGTGATCAGTACCCACTGCTTCCAGCCTGGGCTAACACAATTAGCATAACTAACGACATTTTATGAGGCAAACAGCCATTCTGTGACTGAGTCATGTATTCACATCCTCTCCCTCTTAAGACCCATCTGGATGGGTTCCTGTGTGACCTGCCCTAGACTAGATGGTCCTGCTCTGGCAGGGGGGGTGGGACTTGATGATCTCTGCAGGGCCCTTCCAACCCCTAACATTCTCTGATTCTGTGATCAGATCCTGAAGGGCTTTTGAATCAAGTAGACAAACATGATCTCTCCAGCCTCTCCCTGCCAGCCTCAGGATTCCAGGGTACCAGGTTGGCTACTCTGTGTCCTCACAGGCTTTGAAGCCAACCAGGTGGTAATAATGACCCCATCACAGAACAGGGCAGAGTAACAGCACCCAGAGCACTGTCTGTAAACCAAACCAACACAAGTCCTGCACGGGGAACCTGGACCAGAACCATTGACAGACAGCTAAACCTGGGACTCTCAGTGGCCAGGGACACCTCTGCTGCCCTCTGCTTCCTCCAAGGACTGACTCTTACTGTTTCATGTGATTTTTGAGTACAGTGTTATATTGATGCAGCAAACTATGCATTAAGATCTGATCTAATCTGCACAGGATTTAGGTGATTAGAAATTGTAAACTGTATTATAAATTCTGTATTCCGCTACTTAAACTGTACTATCTTGACACTGCCTGTGGAGATCCTGTGCCACTCTAATAATAAATTCTGTGCTATGCTAATCATAATATCCTGTTAAGAAAATAAAGCTTTAATTACATCATTCTGCCAGGGATCCCCAAAGAGAACCTGTCTGTCCCTTGAGTGTTGAATGACACAGGAACATCACAAAAGCAGTAACAGAACGCAAATCATTGCTCTGTAGAGTTGGACTACTTCTTACCCTTCCATTTTTACAGATATAGTCAAACAGTTCTCCTCCTGAAACATATTCCATCACCATGAAAATGTCAGTTGGCGTGCTGATGACCTGGTACCTGATAAGAGAAGGTATCAGTTACTCCACTCTTTCATTAAAAGATGGCAGTTACATTTAGTTAAAACCACGGTTGTGCAAAGAGTCAGACAAATCAGCCAATTTACAGCTACTGGAATGACAGTGCTTTGAAGAAGCTTTTTCCTCTCCTTTCACTATATGATGCTGTCACTGACAAGACTAACAGAAAATCCATATACCCCACCAAGAATATTAGGCTTCGTACTTTCAGAGGACTAAGCTTAGTCCAAATGATTTCTATAAAACATTGCTGTGCTGTCTCACAGATATCTTGGTGCGATCAGGAAGAGATTCAAAATTACCTTGCTAGTGTCTCAAAAATATGCACTTTTCAGGCTTGATATGCAAATAAAAAAACCTTACTTGCCACAGTGTACCTTGTGACTAGGAAAAATTGCTCTCAATTCATATAATCTTTTACAAAGACACCTGAGTTTGTCATTAACATTTAAAACTTTTAACACTCCTGTTACTACGTTTTTATCATTCTACTTCAGCTAAGTTTCAAACAAAGAAAAAACACCTTTGAAGTTTTGAAATAACTAGTTCATGGCCAAGCCCACCACTCAAGAAACTTATTTCGCTCTATACATTTTCTCCTAGAAGTTTGGGTTTTTTCCTTTACAGCAGTCAGAAGTGACCAATTTTTAACAGAGTAAGGAAATGAACACTGATAACACTTCAGCCAAATTTTAGACATTATATTGAGAGGAGAGGAGAGGAGGTAGCAACTGGATGATGAAAATTAATGTTTCAAGGTATTACACTTCAGCATGCAAATATCTGAATTGCTAATAAACAATTGAGTTCACACACACTACAGAACTGCAGCGTTCTTCAAAATGGCAATTCCCTGACAAAAAGAAAAGCACATGTGCTTCGGCTTAATGAGACAAGTTATTCTAGAACTACATAGACAGCAACAAGTTCAGACTATCCACGTGAATGTGTGCGCACAGATGTGTGTGTGTACAGGTTTTTAATGTCTTAGTATTACAGTGTAACACTTTGGTAACTACAACACCTTTCCAAGGCAGTTATTAACCTGAGACCTTTGAAATGAGTTTCACCTAAAAATCTTACAGTCCAAGACGCTTTGCCTTTACCAATATTCTCTGCAATACCTTAGTTGAAAATACCTCATACTCAAATGTCAACATTCTGAAGCCATAGATAAAACAGTACTATAGAAATAGTGTTTTAATCCTCTTCATCCAAAAGTTACAGCCATGCTTCTCTACAGTCAGCTCATTCTACTGGTTATGGAAAAGGAGACTGTAGAACAGTTACATACCTGTAGTATAAATAAGGTTATCAAACCACACAGCACAGATAACCAGAATGCAAAGAGCAACATCTTTATGTAAGAAAACAAGATGCATTATATTGCTAAAGGTCAAAAACCACAACAGGAGATGCTCCAAAGATTTTTAAGTCGTGGTATAGAAAGCAAACGTTATTGCAGCAGGCTTGCAACTGTACAGACTGCTAAAACCGTGTATGAGGTTTTTCAGAAGGCACAGTCACATTCCAAATTAGACAATGTCTATTTTGTAATATTAAACTGAAACAAATCTGTTCACCTTAAACCCAAACATCTTGCTAAGCTGCTATCTAGCAGTTTCCCTATCCAGTTCCTAACAGTAGAAGCAGCATGATCCTAAGTTACCAGCAAGTCTACCTGCACAACAGCATTAGTTGTATCTTAATGGCTATTTACACATAGGCCAATAATCCTCCTGCTTTAGAAATGCAGGTAGAACAACTGGAAAAGTTTGGAATCCGTCCCTTTTTCCATCATCTCCCATACTCTGTCCTCTCTCCCCACACACAAGAGAAAAAAGTATCTCCGTAATTCCCTGAGAAAGAAACTGTCACCTGAAACCCGTTAAATTGACTTCACAGTTGAGCAACATCACAAATACACATTGCTGTTCAACCCCCATATCTCAACTGGTACACTGACACTTCCTATTTTCTTTTGGCTACAGGTATGTGTCCTTTCGACTAGCACTTTCTGCCCCTAGCAATTCTGCAGTAAATTAGCTCTATAGCTTTCTGAAACCAAACCCACTGAAAAAGTTAGCTAATCTTACACAATCCAATTTAGCTGGAGGGTAAAAGTTGTTGCCAAATTAAGGGGAGTGTAGAGGGATGGAATCTGTCAGTGGTAGCAGGGTCTTAAGATAATATTGCCAATAGAAAAACCAAACCTAACACTACGATTAAGACAGTGAAAGTCACTCACATGCTGGAGGTGCAGGTTAACTTTACAGGAAATGAAAGTTAAAAAAACACTGATTGAATCTATGGCTTATTTCCTCCAAAATGTAAACTGGCATACCGTACATAGCGCATTCAGACATGTGGTAGCACCTATGATGAAGAATTCCGTAATACCAGTCACATTTAATGAACTGCACAACCTTAACTCAGCTATATCTCACAGAGCGCCATCTGCATTGGAAAAACCACAGATCACTGACCAGCACATCACTAAAAACATATTTCAAGTAAGAAAAGACAATAAACTCACTACATAAATGCCCTTGACAATCTTGTTCTTAAGTCATTCTCCAAGCAGAAAAATGGTAAAATATAACCAGAAAAAGAAAACTGAAGTATCAGCTAAAAACAGAGATGGGTGCTACGAGAAGAATCTACCACGCTATTGCCTTCTATATACCTGTCCAAATAATTTTATGGAAAAATCTAATGGATACTCTCTAGCCTGCAGAAAGATCAGTTTTGTGCAAATACATTAAAGGACACTGAACATGGTGGCAGAGCTGGAAGCTGGTTACTTTCCTGACAAGACACTGATAGTAGTATTGCCCTCTAAGCATGTTTCAGATTAGCGATATCAAAAACATTACTTTTTAAATAGGTTCCATTATAGCAGGCAAAACTTACAGCTTAATTATATGAGGATGTCTGAAGAGTTTGAGGTTCTGAATCTCCCTGCGGATTTTTCCTACAACATCAAGGCTCCGGATCTTCTGCCGATTCAGGATCTTCACTGCAACTTTATGCCCAGTTAACTCATGTTTGCCAACTGCAAGGAACAAGGAAGTATTTAGCTAGGGTTTTCAATTGCTCTGTAAAGACATTTATTTGCTCATTTCAACTGTAGCCAAGAAATACAAGTTTAAATGTTAGCATTCCACATAACCCCATTATTTTTGGGTAGGCCAAAAGCCAAATGGCACTATTTCTTCTGCCCTACTCCAATTTCTCCCTGCTCAAAGGTCTCTGACAATTCTACAGTTTGAAAATGAATGGGATATGTAATAAAAACCTTAAACCTAAACCTTAGCAGTCTTGCAGTATGACTACATTTTTGCACTACTTGCAAGCAAAGCAAGCATATTCCCATACACTGCCATCCTTGCTAACTAGAAAGACCAATTTCTGTCCCTGTGTAAGTCATTCCAAGATACTGGCTCACTTGCTAACCCACTCAGATAAGCTCTCCTGCAACTCTTCTACTTTATCTGCAAGGATTGCTCTTACTAAAGGAATCACTGCTGTCTTTCCCTCAAGAGGCCCTTTTCAGCAATTACTTTGCATTATCTCTAAGTTTACCTAAAAAATAATTATTTATCTGTCCTTTGAGCATTCTCATCCTATACAAGGTCTGTGCAGCAAACACCAGAGCTTTATTACATAAAATAACAGGCAAAAGATACAGGAAATGAAGAGAATAAAAATCCAACAGTAACTACAAGAAGCAGTGCAAACACACATCCTTCATACATTCCTCAGTTTCATTCCTTCTCCCAGGAGAATTCAATCTTTCTTTCAGCGGTAGAACCGAAAAGTGCAAAATATTCCCTAGACCATTACCCTTCTTGAAATCCTTAACCTTGCAGGTGCTATTGCAAGTAGCTGCAACAAAGTCGCTAAGAATATTTTTCTTAAACCCACCATGGATCAGGGATAAACCTCAGAAGGAAAGCATCTCTTCCTCTAGAAGGCTTCACTATCTGCATCAGATTCTACATGCAGTGATGAGCTGGATTTGAGGAACACCTCCGTGGTTCATCTTTGTCCACTTCAGTGGACTTTGATAACAGACCAGTGGTGAATATCATACTCATCTGGGTATCTCTCCTCATATTAGAACTTAATTAAGCTCCAGGCTTCAAGCTTTATTTAAACACGTCCATGGGAAGATGTGATAAACAACAGCAATCCACAAAATCTTTCTGCATTCAACAGGCAATTTGGATAGAATTAGCAAACACCGATCAATCTGTAAAACTCCTTCCTAACACAAGACCTTCCTGCTGCCTTTTGCCACAATACTGAGCTAAAAATCAGTGTGAGTAATTCTTAACAGAAAGACACAGATAATAAGCATCTGAATTTTTTTTCTCAAAATAAAGAGATAGTCACTGTGTTATACAAAGCAGTTTGCCTGAATTGCTGTAGAGAAGTAACGAAGTAGTGGACTAGCCAAGGGCCTGAACCATCACAACATGGTGGTGGTGGTGGTGGTGAGGTGCCTTTTGTACCCAAGAAGACATAAGGGCTCCGACTGCAATGTGAAAAAACACATCCTGTCATTTACAGGAGCCATTAGCTAAAAATGGCCACAACCACCAAACAACGGACAGGCACATCTGCACTGCTGAAGGACAAAGCCCACATCCTCACAAGCACCAGAGAGACCACAACACCTTGGTAGGCAGAGCCTGGAACTGTGGAATCATGTTACCTCCAAGAACTACCGGCTTTCAAAGAGAGCTAGCATTAAAGCAACCACATCCCACCTTATTTTCTTCAGTTCAAATGTGATTTGAGTTCTACACGAATCCAACAAATTGTTACACCTTAACTACAAATCCTAAGAAGTAACGAATCTTCAACATAAAAAGTTAAAAGAGCAACTATTACATTAGAATTACAAAGTCTTTGCCTATCAATAATGTGAGATGAAGTAAGCCAGACGTATTTGGAGAAAAAAAAAAAAAAGCTTTGATCAGTAAGCTAAAATTTAACAATCGTTTTCCTTAGGAAGAAACCGCTTCATAGAAACTAGACAAGAATCTGTTAAGACACTTGAATTTGTATTTTTCTTTGCTGCACAAAATACATTTCAGGTGTTTAACTTGGTAGCATATATGTTAGAGCAATTCTACAGCTTAGCGTATAAATACTTCTGGCATGCATGGTGTTACAGTCTCATCAGCCAATTTGTTTCATTTTTGCCAAGTCTATCTTAGAATAAAATTGGAATTTCATTAGAACTCAGAAAAACATTAGAAAACAATTTATTAGCTACCACAACCTATCTTCAGGGGACAAGGCTCACAGAAGTTTTTCAAAACATATTTTTAATTCAAATTAAATGGTAACATTTCCAACTGACTGAAACCAATTCTGTCACAGCCTTCAAGTCTCTGTGCCTCAAGCCTTGATTTTATTCATTGACTGGGGAAGGGGAAAAAAAAAAAAAAATAGTTTTCTGCTTAACTCCGTTTCCCAACTTTGAATAAGTCATTGTAATGAAAACATACATTGGTTTTGTGCAGGTGCAAGAAGATCCAAAAATGACTGTTCACTTGTTTAAGACACTTCAAATTGAATTGCTACATTCTTCAGTAATTTTTACCTCCCTTTTTTAATTAAATTTAAGATTATAACAAATCTATCTTTTTAAGATATGAGTTTACAATAACCATCCACTTCATGAAATAAAACTGTTTTCTTGAGCACCGTTGAAGGCATCTGTTATCAGGAAGAGAGCAGGCAGTAACTGGTAATGGGCTGCTGACTACTGCCGAATTCAGCATAGAGGGCTCAAAGCAAGATCTCAGATGGTAACAGCACAAAAGTAACCAAAAAAGTAAACTGCCAGTGTTATCTTTCTGAAATCTACTTTGCATTACCTCTTGAGAGAAGTTTTACTTATAAAAGGGAAGGTTTACAAATAAGAAAATTTATTTATATTAGTGACCGTAATACTCCAGCAGCTTACAGTCCTTCAAAAGAATCACTGCAAAAAGTTTACTCTACAGACCTAATATTTCTCTATAATTCTTTATTCTGATAATACCAATTGCCCTCAAGCTTCACTGTGGCTATTATGCACAGCACCAAGAGTTCCAAGACAGTGACAGGCTCAAAGCAACAGACTTCTTTCACTTGTTGAAGGACAGGA